CTTGCTCTCTTTCTCTCTGTCGTTTTCTCGTTTTCCAGCCACTCGAATGTGCCATAAACATTTCAAAGCCCCAGCAAATTAACAAAAACCCAACAAAATGTGACAAGTGCCTGTTATGCATCGTGAAAAAATGGCATCGACAACAGCAGCAGCAGCAAGCGAAAAAGAGAGAGCAAGGTAGCCAAGCAACAAAACAGCGCGGGAGGCAAGCCCGTGGGTAGGTGGACAGAGACAACAAGACAAAGAATACGAGCGCCTGTGTTAAATTACATTTTGTGGCAACAGCCGAAAGCGAAAAGAGCAACAACAGAGCGAAAACTACTCGCAAAGCAAATGTAATGTTAAAAGCGATATATGTATGTAACTGTCTGTGGGAATGTAATGTGTGTGAGAATGTGATGTGTGCGTGTGTGTGTGTATCTTTGTAATGGCGGCGCTGAAAAGTATGCCATAAAAAGGCTGAAGGCAGACACTGCACGATGGCATGTGAAGAGAATAATTTGAATACAAATTATTGAAAGCAATAACTCTGTAGACAATATCGATTTGGCTAGAGTATGTATATATTTATACGATATATATGTTATGTATGTATGCTGTTTAATTTATATAAATATATGAAATATTTCAAAAAGAAAAGCTAGTTTTATTTACTTTCAAGTCTTTTTGACATTATTTTCTCTTCTGTTCTATTTATGCACGTAGATCTTAGATACAGGTAATAACATTTAAGACCTCAGCTAGGTTGTTAGTAAAGGTATTTGGCGCTATAAAGCTTACGACAAAAAGCTGCAATAGATAAAAGAAATAAGCAGATTTCAATTTGTTAGACTCTATGCCGTGTGTAACGTTTTTGCCTATAGCAGCTATTATATGTGATGAGCATCGTTAAAGAAACCTAGGAAATTTCTTGAGATCAGTTTAGAAAGAAGCAGGAGATCAACATGGGATGTTACACAGAAATTTTCAAAATATTCCAAGCTGATTATATACTTATATATTTATATAGATAGGACAATCGAATCAGCAGTTGCAAAAGCTGCTATGGTCATGTTATTGTGTATAATATATAAGATCATTCCAACGAACTAAGGAGTGTGTTCAAAGTTTTGATGATTTGCCATGTTATTCTACATTTTATTCCAACAAAAGCGTCTTGAAATTTGGATCACTGGACAATATTTTTCAATATTTGTATTTTTTCTTGGATAATAATCTAAGATATATACTGCTATCTGAAATATTATTGCTCTCTTTGGGTCACAGAAAATGGCGTAAGAGTTTTTATACAGCATGCAAATTTAAAGAAACGCTATCAAAATGACCTCAACGAATATATTTATTTGACTACTAAATGCAAAAATATTCTATTTTGGCAACATTTATTCGTAAATCTGTATATCTGTGCCATAGTCAAATGCAAGCGACTCTTGGGCAAAGTTGTTGTTGTTGTTGTTGTTGCTGTCATTTTATAATCCCAAAGACAATAACTACGTTAATAGCCATGTGAGGCCAGCGGCCAGCCACAAAAATGACACAAAGAAAGAATTTCGAATAAAATAAGGCGAATGCATATATAAATTGTTGCTTTAAAATTTTCGATTAATCCGACATCTGTGAACAGAAAACAATTACAGATTCATTTCAATACATACCAGAAATAACAATATATTTGGCTGATCAAGAGCTTCTATCTTCATATTCTTTACAGTCCTTATTTGGCCTCAAGTGATTTTCTTTTCTCTTTTGGGATCTCCATTTCTGTGTGGCAGAAGTAACCCCCCAGAAGATGATTTTAAAGGTAAATAATATCATTTTGATAATTATTTTACATTGTTTTATTTATGGGAACCAATTCATTAGGCGAAATCATCGTTATTTAGCCTTCCTTAACTTTACTTTTACGCATTGGAAGCATCAGTCCAAGCAGATTTTTACAATGAGTCCATTACCATTAAACGTTTGTTCGAAATATTTTCGATGTTTTGTTTTAATCTAAAGGGGCCAAATCAAAAGCGACCAAGGACATTCTTTGCAGTTGGTCGCGTTTACTTACATTTATTGACCCAACAAATTTTGCCTGTGGACAAGCCTCGTCGATTAGAATGGGCCCAAAGAGTTATCGGGTCAGTCGAATATGGACAACCCAGTATATATACTTATCTAAATATATTTACCCATATTATATATTCTTTCTGTTGTACCCATTTTCAAATAGTTTATGGTATAAAAAATGCTCTACTTTGTGTTCGTTGCAAGCCCAAACTTCCAGCAAGAGCAACGAGGGTTAGCCACGTTAGCGCCTTTCGCTTTTAACAGATATTTGCCACAGTCACGCTCGCGTTTGCCTTCGCGCAACTTTGTCGAGCTGGAGGGTGGCATACAAAGTGTTAGTTCTGCCATGTTGTCCAACACGTACATACATGTATGTACATATGTATGTAGTTGTTAGCGGACAAGTTTTACACTTTTAACATTTCAGCAAAATGGAAAAGCAAAACGAACACTTTTTTGGTGGAAACTGCACAACTAGATGATGCTCTAGTACGACATTGCCTGACTGACAGATTCACTAACTGACTGACTGACTGAGTAGCTGACTAATTGACTAACTGATTGAATGAGCGATGATTGACTGAATGAATAACTGACTGACTGGCTGATTGTCCAATTGATTAATTGCATGATTGACTGACTATCGAATTGAAATAACTCGCTGATTAATTGACCGACAGATTGTCTAGGTGAATGACTGATCAACTGACTGATTAACTAACTGATTGAGTATCTGAATAAGTGATTGATTGACTAAGGGACTGACTGGATGAGTAGTTATTTGATTGACTGATTGCATAGCACAATGACTGATTAATTGACTGACGGCCTAAGTAACCGACAGACTGAAAGAATGTTTGACCGATATAATGACTGATGCACTGATTAATTGACTAAAATTCAGTTAGTAATTAATTGAATGATTCACTGATTGCAACTGACGACAACTGATAAATAGGCTGTAATTCAAAAGTACAGAGAGTAGGTAACATCATAAGTAGGCTGTGAATGAGTATTACGCAGTCGGTTCCACTCACTTCTAGTGTTAGCAAAGTGTTAGTCTAGATGTTAGCAAATTCACAGCCTGTAATCAAGTTGGGTCAAGTGTCTGATGCATTTTTTATGCCGCACTTCATGCGGCGCACAGCATGCGAATTTGCATCTGGCCCAAAAGATTAACTTTTTTTATTGGATTGCAACTGAGGCCAGCAAATGAAATTGAAATCAAAGTCCGATTTTGCATTTTCGAGGGAAAAAACAAGTAACAACGTTGCAGTCGGGCGTTACCGACTGCGGAATAGTCTTTCACACCCCATCAGCAATTTATTTGCTAAGTTTCAGTCTACTATTGTAGAAAATGCAGTTTTTCCCGATTTGCCACGCCCCTACTGGGCGTAGACGCCTCATTTTTGGTCAGTTCTTAGAACGAGATAACGGTACCCTAACTGTAAAGTTTGAATGCTTACCCTCAAAAAATGTGAAAATTACAGGGTATTTTTCGAGTTGTCACGCCCCTAAAGAGGCGTAAAAATTATTTTTAAGTCATCGATAGAGGAGATTACTGTTAACTTAACTATCTAAATGTGAAGCTTCTAGCTATTTAGGAGATATAAACTTTTGCGGTTTGCCACGCCCCCTGTGGGCGGACATATATCTGATAAAGCTTTTTGGTTTTGGGTGAACAGCCCGAGTATATATACAAAATTTGAGGTCTCTGGCATCAATATTGTCGAAAATATAACAGAATTTAAAAAATCACTATATCTTCAGGTCCAATTTGCCACGCCCCTAATTGGCGTAGACTTATAATTTTGTCTTTTGACTATATAGAATCATAACATTAGCTGACGTGCAAAATTTCAGTGCTTTAGCTGGAAAACTCTTGGAGATACAGTTTTATCCGATTTGCCACGCCCCGAATGGGCGTAAGTATATCCGCCATAGCTCGTGATCTTGGGTGGTCGATGCAGATCTATATTCAAAATTTCAGCTTTCTAGCTCTTCAATTAATATGATTTCTGGCATATCGGAAAATGCATTTTCCGATTTGTCACGCCCCTAGTGGGCGGATCGGGAAATTTTTAACACTTTATAAATCGGAGACATACATGAGTATATGTTCCAAATTTCAAGTCTCTAGCTTCAATAGCGCCGAAATAGATTGCGTTCATACGGACAGACGGACGGACAGCAAGACGGACATTGCAGAAAACTAATATACTGATTCACTTTCGTGAATGAGTATAATAAATAAAATGCTTAATATTTATTAAAGCCTATCACTTGGAAGTGCACAGGATCAAACAAGTCCGAATTGCGGGTTTTTACAATTTCAAAAGGGAACTGGGCAGGCAGATAAGAAAAAGCCCATAGACTTCAGCGCCTTCATACACTGCTCACAAAAATTGAAAATGAAATACTACATTTTCGCATGAGCATAGAAAACCCTTTCATGATTTTTTGGTATGCTCCTCTTTCAGAGGTCAACAAATGGAATTTGCATGCTTTGCTGCATGTGAATGTATTAGGGAGAGAAAAGACAGTAAAGTACGATAGAGTATTTACTGTGAACTCTGGAATTTTACATAAGAATCGACCATTTTACAATGGTGTGGAGTTCCCATATGCTAATCTATGTGGATACGAAGTTGAGTGGGATCTAACATGTTGGCCAAATTTTTATATCGCCAATTCACATTTTCCATAGTCTAAATAGTCAGTCAATAGTCTAGGTCTAAAAACCCACCAGTTAGCTCAAGTTACCCCCACCACAGGAAGAAAAAACCATTTTAGTTGCGTTTTAATTAATAAATATGTAATGTATTTTGTATGTATTTATTTTAATGTCACTTTTGCCGAGTTAAGTTGAAATTTGTTATTTTTAGCATGTTATACATATATATAGAAATATTTATATATTTTTTGTCTTTTTTATTATTATTATATATTTTTTTTAATGGCAAAATAAGCTGCGCTTCACCTGAATGGCCCTCGGATCGAATTCGAAATGTTTTGTTGATGGACTCGATTTGCTTTTCGTTTTGTATTCGATCTGATGTTAATAAATAAATAGTATTAGATAGTATACAATGTGATAGTTAATTAGTTTAGGCGTTTAGCAATAGAGTTTCATTAACGTCTGTATACATGAGCTATCTGTTAATTGTAACTATATAAATTTATTATTTATTTAACTTGCTTGCTCGCCGCCGGCTCTGTGTGTTTGTTGCAAAAATAATGCCATTGCGAACGATTAGTTACATATATAGTATTTATAATTGTTAATGAATACGTATGTATGTATATTTTGTTGTATACATGTGAACTTGTGATTACCTGCACATTTAGCAATATCTGAAATATTCTCAACTTGCCATCCGCTTTGTATTAATTAATAATTACATGCATGCTCAGTCGCATGCCGTTTGCTTTGCTTTTCAATTGTTTAATATTTATATATATATTCATATGCATGTACTTATAAAGTCGCGTTTAACTTTGCCTTCTGGTGCTGTTTGACAATTATAGCAAAAATAAGCTCTCTTTAATATAAGTTTTCGTTTACTATTTCGTAGCTTAACACAAATAATTCAATGCACACCTTATTGTTCTTGATATTACTGTTGTTATTTGCTTTTATTGTTATTTATATTTTATTGCTCAGTGGCTCACCTATTTCTGTTACATTTCAAATGGCATCCATTGATAATTAGTGCACATTTCGCAAAGCACTTTTATTGTAATTATACACATTTGTTTTGACGACGCTAAATTAAATGCATTTTGTTTTGTTTACTCTTTAAATTTTACTGTTTACTGTTCACGGCTTACGGCTTACGGCTTACGGCTTACGGCTTACTGTTTGTTGTTTGTTAGTTGTTGTTAACCAGGCATCTTACTTAAGCTATATTAAGTATTCTTGACATTCAATACGCACAGTACAATAATGTGTTAATCATATACATATACATATACAAAAAATAATATCCATATAAATGACGAAAACAATTCAACGAAATCTCAGCTCATATTTGATATTTGGCATTACTGCAAATTATAAATGTAGTTAATAAACCTAATCAATACTAAATAATTAAATTATAAATTATTGCTGTCTATCGCATTGGCAACGAAAATAAATCCTTTTAGAGTATTGCCTCCATCCTACTCGCACACACGCACGCTTTCTGTCTCCCTTTCGCTCTCCGGCTCGTTCTCTCCATCTCTTTCTTAATATCGCTTTTGCTGCTTCCAACTGTGGCTCTTAATGTCTTTAAACACTCAAAACTCGAGTATTTTGTATATAAACAATGTTTACTATATGTATGCCTTAAGCAACACACACACACATATATACACACACTCACTCTCACACATGTACGCAAAACACAAAATTCAGTCTTTTTCATGTACATCGAGAACAAATCAAAACATTGAAACAAAACTGGAAATACAAAGCAAGTCTTAAGCGAGTGCTTAGTATTACTGGGTTGAGTATGGCTAGTTCCTGTTTGTAATTGCGGCTTCGGTTGATTGAGTGTTATTTGTGGTGCTTGGGTAAATGAAAGTACGTTCAGATAATTCAATTGAAGCATGTTGGACAACAGACATACGACGAGTTATCTTAGTGTATCTCTGTCAGTATCTGTGTGTGTGTGTGTGTGTGTGTGTGTGTGTCTGTGCTGAGAGGTGCATAAGCATAATAATATAACGCTTGAGTTAGATATAAATTGGCGTCTCCTGGCCGGTTAGCAGACGAAACATGGACGTAGGCATAGTTTTCATCAAAATCTATCAAGAAAAACCAATGAAAAATTTATAAATTTAGTCACAGATGTACATATATATGCATATATATATAGAGAGAGAGAGATGTATGTTTGTGTACCTCGCCCACAGATGAGGACAACAACTTGACGATGGTATCGTGGGGCACAGCAACCACACTTTGATTGTTAATCTCAATGATGCGATGGCCAACTCGTACACCGCCGCGCTCTGCGATGCCGCCACGCAACAGGCTGCAAATCTGTTGAGAGCACAACGGTAATAATTTTCTTTTCGGTTGGGAAATATTGACGCATGGCACTTACCACACCGTTTTGCACGCTGAAGCCGAGCTGAAAGAGCGCCTTGGGACGCAGGATCTTCACCTCAACGACAGGCGGACAGGGCACTACGGTAAACTTGACGGCAGTTTGATTCTTGGCATTGCGTATGTAGGTCTGGCAGGTGGATAGCGGCAGACCGACAAGACTCATGCCGTTAATGGCGATTAGCTGATCGCCAATGTTCAGCTGGCCGCAGCGAGCGGCTGCACCGCCGGACATCAGATTGGCAATAACCACCGTTGGCAGCATCGAGCCCCAGCCACTCTCCACAATAACAACGCCCAGAATTTCGCCCTTCGCCTTGGGCACCACAACTTCCTTCTGCAGCTCCTTTTTGGCGAATATCTCCAGTTCGTCGCCGAATATCTCCTGGCTGTTGAGCACCTCCTGGTAGTCCATTTCCTTGGCCAAGTTCTCGTTTTCGATGCCGTTCGCTTTCAAGAACTCCATGTAGGCCACCTGAAACGCCTGCCCGATGGACTGCGCTATAAACTGCGCCTCGTCGCTCTCAAATACATGGCATATCATTTTGGGCGTGCGATTGTGCTTATTCGACGAGCTGCTCTCCTTGTTACTGCCGCTGCTCTCCTTCAGCGACTCACCCTCGATGGTCTCTCCCGGGCTCGAGGTTGACAGCGAGTCAACGACAACGCCACCGCCATTGGGTATAAAGCGGCGCCGCGCCATCAGCACTACCAGGTCGCCAATGTCGGCTATGTAGGAGATGGTGCGCAGGGCGTGGTCCATCATGATCTCCTTGAGGTCCGTGTTGAGCACCATTATCTTCTCGGTTGATATGAACAGATCCACTTCGGTGCTCGGCTGACTTTCGCCCTCTGGCGCCTGGCAACAAATGAAACCGTCTCGTCAGTCACTTGCAAACGTGATGCAAAACAAATAATTGTGATCTAAAATTTTGATTTGTGTTTGTTGCTTACCAAAGCCTAAAGATATCGAGGATTACGCAGCATGGGTTAATTTAGGGGTGTGGGTGTGGGCGAGAAAAGCGAGATGCATTATAGACAAAGAGGCGACAATAGACCAAGCATATGCTAAATGGGACGCAACTGGACATGAGGTCAATGAGCTAGGGGCACATACCTTGATGCGGGAGACGGCCTCCTCGGCTTGCATCATGCGCGTCGACTTGGTCGGCTGACCCTCGCACACCAGCTGCGTGGAGCCCAGGTAGCGGGCCCGAAAAAGTACGCCCTCAATAAGCACTTTGGGTTCCAAGAAACCTGATCGATTCGAAAGAGCGAACTGTTAATATTGGCCTTTTTTGATAATTGATTCAATTAAAGTTGTTTTACGTGCAATATATACGATATAAGGGAAAAATTATATATGCTACACTACCTCAACTACAGAGCACTACATACTTAAGTATATCTTCGAATTAATATACCAATATGGAATAACAAATATTTACAATAATTTTCAATTTCAATTTTTTATAAATTAGATTTATTCTAATGTTTTCACACCTCTTTTTATCGCCTCTGCTCTTTAAAGTTTCTATTTATCTAGTATCAAAAACAGATTGCACAGCTCATAGTCTCATCTTGTTTTCATTTTTCCCTTTAAGACCTTTCCATTTCAGTCTATTGGTATACTATCTTTGATAATTCAAAGTCACGTTCAACTCTGAGAACCATGTTAATATCGATGGGTTCTATAGTAAGGGCATCATTATAAAGTAATATTTTGAGTGTTTACAGGTAATTTTTTCTACTATATAATTATATTTATAATTTTTCTGTCCTAATTTATAATATTATTTACAGCACTCTACCTAATCAATTATTTCAGTTCTCTACTAATATTTCATTTCGTTGCTAGAACTAACCAAACTGCTTCTACATATTTATGATATAATGAAACAGATAGGGATAGAGATAGTGAGAGAGAGAGAGAGAGAGAGAGAGAGAGCACATCCACTTACATGGCAGGCATCACACCATCAAATACACAAATGAAAATTGCAATATGCAGCAGTTGACAGAGAAAAAACGTGAATGTCAAAATTGATTCAGAAGAAAAGAGAGAACAAAATCATTGTTCGGTTTTAATTTTATGGGGCGTTTCCATTAGCAACGCACAGTCGAATAAATTCGCACACACACACGTTCACATATACACACCTTCCTTATTTCGCGAATGGGTTTTCTTGTCGCAGTTGGCCGAGTCTTTCAGCGATTTGATGGATCCCGTTGGGCTCTTTGTGTATTGCAGTTTCTCCGGCGAACTGATCGAAACATCCGCATTGCCCACAATCTGGCAAATGTCCGGGGAGTTGGGCGTCAGCGAGGTGCCAATGCCCTGCCGTATGGTGGCCGACGAGTACGTTTGCGGCTTGGGATTGCTGTTGTTGTCGCTGATATTCAGGCTGCTGCTGTTGGTATTGATCAGGCCGTTGGCATTGCTGTCGGCGGCTCCAGCAAGGGCCAATGTCTACAAGAACAAGAGGGCAGTTCGATCATGTCTGCTAATGCGAGTTGGCCTATATCGCTCACCTGTTCGGCAAAGAAGTCCTTCTCGCCTAGCAGCCGATCCGTTTCGAGATCTGTGTCGGCTTCCTCATCTTCGTGGCGTCCAGCTGTTACCGTCGTGGCGCCCTTGCGCGGCACCCATACCGGCGAGTCCGGATCCGCGGGCAGCACTTCATCGCAGAACTTCAGTTTGTCCGGCTGCGCCTTGGCGCGCTGCAGGGCCGAACGAATCTCTTTCATGGCCTCTTGTATCTCGACTGGCGGTGCGATTGCTGCTGGCTTATTGCCGGCTGTCACAGTCGCGGTCGCATTCGCAGTCGCGGCGGCTGTTGATGCCAGAGCTGCTGCATAGACTGGACCGTAATGCGAGTCTGCGGGATTGTCGCTATCAGCATTATTGCCATCGTTCAGCTGCGGCTCCTCTTCGCATTGCTCCAGCGGTGGAGTGGCCGTTGGCGACGTAGGCAGCGGCGTTTGCGCTGACAGCGCTGCTGCGAACTCGATCGGCTGCGTGATATCTGCTGCTGCTGCAGCCGTCTCGGTCAGTGCGATGCTGTTGTGTTCGATCGGCAGTCGCTCGCTGTCGCCGTTGCCATTGTGCTCGTGCTCAGGTTTGATTTGCGGATGCTGCAGCAGCTGCTGCTGCTGCTGTTGTTGTGGCAGCAGCTGTGTTTGAGGCTGCTGCGGCGCCTTGTCGCAGACGACAGAGACATTGTTCTCGGTGTCCGAAGCATGGCCACTGCTGAGACCATCCTCCAGCACCGGCATGCTGGTGTAGAGCTTGCCATAGTCGGTTGTGGTGCAGTTGATATCGTTCGATAGGCTGTCCAGATCGCCGCAGTTCGAGTCGTAGTCTGTCGTCTCCGGGGACAGCGTAAAATTACGCGAATGCCGCCGCAGATTCGCCTCCAGCTCAGTGTCGGCCAGGTCGCCGCTGCTGCGACTGTTCGAATCGATGTACAGCTCGATGTCGTTGTGCTCCTGGTAGGCATTGTGCTCGCTCGCCTGTGAATGGAAATAAGTTTGCATTAGGAATTTTTCAATTTCATAATACGACATACATATATGCAGTTGTGCTCATAAACGTAGTAGTGGACAACCTACTTGAATCGAATAAATAAAGTTGTCTTTTGATATGAATTAAGGAATACTTCAGAACGAAAAATTCTCAAAATGTAGGAAATTAATTGAACATTATTTTAACTGCATTTCATTATTGTGCTTTACACATATTCTTTAGTCTAATAGACAGTTGTAAATCTATTATAGTTTTCCAGCTATCTGTCATGGAATAGATGTTTTCATTACAAGGTTATCCCTTTTTAAGGTCTAACAGGTCTATTTCTCGTTTTTACCGAGCAATGCTTCATTCAATCTGAACACAAAAACTAAACAAATACTCGAATTATATAAATCAATCAAAGTTAATTATAACTCATTACACTTAAATTTACTATTATTTATTTTCTTCAACTACTACTGTTTCCATGAACAGTCAATGTTCAGTGCATTTCGTTAAAGTCGTTAAAAACAAATCGATTCTAATCGAATGCTAGGGATTCTTTCGCGTTTTTCTTCTATACATTCTATTTTAAATGAAAGTGTGCATTTTTGTATTTTCTATGGGGAAAAGTAGTTTTTCATTAGGTTTGTTTTGTGTGGTGGAGTATTACTATTAAATACAGTTGACGTCATGGAAATAACAGTGGTGCAGCATACAACACCAAGCAATATATAATATGTATACAAGTATATATAACATTTACACATAAGCATATGTGTGCTACCTATGACTCTTTGACCCACTAACCTGCATCCTGGGCGAACGATGGACCATGTAGAGTTCGTCTTTGGGTATTCTAGCTAGACGCTGGCCTATGTAGGCTTGCTCGATATGTTTGTCCACTTCGCACACACGCGGCTGTATGTCCTGTATTGGATGGGAAGAATTGAGCAAAGATTTCACTGACTGACTTCCTCTGGAGCCTTACCGAACTGGCCACATCGTCTCCACTTTCCGTAGTGTAGTCCGTGAAGCGCTTCTCGTCGTCGTCGGGATTGCCCTTGAAGAACTCCTCGAGCACTTTGCGAGTCTCCGAGAACTCGTACAGATAATCAAAAGTGGGCGTCTTCGAGGCTGCCGTTGCGGACGTGCCCTCGTGGTCTATCAGATCAATTAGATTGCCAACGGATGTCTTAACGTTGTTATCCAAGCGTTGCTTCGTAGGTGAGACACGTTGCGGAAAACCAGGCGGTCGTCGCGGACAGCAAGCGCCCTTGGCAGCCACTTGCTGGTTGCCAAAACGACGCGGGGAGCCCTCATATTCGGCTATGGGCAGCTGCCCAATCATCTTGGTGACCTTCAGAACATCCTCGTTGCTGTCCCTTTCTGCGGCTGTCAGTGCCGCCGACTTATTCATCCAGTTTGTGTCGATGTCGTCAAACACAACGATTTCGCCATCGCGCAAGCACTGCCCATCGGCCTTTCCCACGTCGGTTGGCGAGCCGGGACTCGCTATGCCCTAAAGGTAGATAAATAAAGAAAACAGATTATCGGGGAACGTGGCAAAGTTATGGGGTTCACCTCACCTCCGCCTCAAACTGGCTGCTGCCCGGGCTGCGACCCAGGCGTATCTGGTGCGGATGCGGACGCTGGTAATAGTAGCCCGATTGCTGCTGCTGTTGTTGTTGTTGTTGCTGTTGTTGGTGCTGTGAGCCCATGTAGCCGGGCAGCTGATGGGGCGGCGATACCCGCTCGAATGCCTGGTGATGATGCATCGGCGCATACTGCAGCTCAGCATTCAGATCTGGCGAGTTCAACACAGTGCTGGCTGGCGTCACATTTGGGCTACGTGTGCGCATCTCCCAGACGTAGCGCTCCTGCGAAGCGGGCTTGCACGCAGCGCCAAAGTTCATGTGCAGCTCCGAGTGGGCGCCCGACGCCACGTGATTCACATTCCGCTCCATCGACTCGTTGCTACTGTCGCTGCAAGAGTTCATCCCGATAGTTAGCTGCACTTGACCACGACGCTGTGTGGCGCGAGTCTTAAGTCTACCTTTCAGCAGCCAGTGGAAATTTCGACTGCCGCTGACATGCTATGCTCGGAGTCAGTTGCCTGGAAGAGAGAACAGACACCGTGATTAGCATAAACGAGGCCAATTATCTGTGCACACCTCGTCTTTCGATGATCTAATACTCAGAGTTATCTCTGAATCATTCCGAATGCAGCTACACCAGCTGGGGCAGCTGTTGTTGTTATTAATATTATTTATTATTGCTATTGTTATTGTTATTCTTATTAGCTGCTGGCACAAAAATCAATGCACAACAACATCGAGACATGGCACACGTGTAAACGTAATTTTCACTCCCACTGTGTGCGTTCCGTTATTTTTATTTTTGTTCGTTTCTTATGGATTTGCGCACGTAAACTTGGCCTTTAAAAATAAAATAGGAACAAAATAAAAAGTTCGACAGGATGCTGCCGCATCCGAAACAAGCGCCGTGCGAGACAGCGTGTGAATATAATGTGACTCAAACTACAGTGTGCGTTCGCTACAGAGAACCAGACTATAATTAATGTTAAAAATACAAAAATAAAAGTTGAGCAGTAATTCTACTTATTCTCGGATTGCTTAAGGCACATACAGACACACATACAAATGTACATGTATTATGTGCAATGACTTATAATCATTATTGTTCCATTATTCACAGATTTGAATTTACTCAACATTATGATTCATGATTGTATTTTCATTAAGTTTTGTTGAGCTTGACTTCTACTTCTCAAACACATCGACTTTTAGATAATGGTTTCTAGCCTGAGCCATGTTGACTCTAGCAAATATATACCGTACGGCTGTCGGACTTTAAATAGGACGCTGCAGCCGCCGGTTGTTTTGTTTTTGGATTTCATGGCGCTCCCCGCCTCCGCTCCGAATGCAGTGCGACCATCTGTCAACGTCTACTTATCTTATGGGGCAGCGCAGTGATTCGAATTAGATGACATCAAAAAGCGCCATGCACACATACACACATACAACATATCTGTATTTGTGTATATAAATGTATATGCAAGTGTATATATGTTTGTGTATGTATATTGATTCACAGTGTGCGCGTGGTATTGGCATAGAGTATTGTTAAAAATCAATATATTTGCAAGGTTTGGTGTGAACGACAATAGCCGTATAGCTCCCCACCAAGAACATTTAACGTGCCCGCCAGTAATAGCAGCGACGACAACAGCAACACCAACAACAACAACGGACAGCATAACAATGCGTATTTTCTATCTTTTTGGGTGGCGATTCACCCCCCCACCGATTTGAAATAAATACATTTCATTTGGGTTTGTGCACAACACAGCAATAACTATAACGTTTACATATGTATTTTAAGAGCACTCTTGCATTTTGCAAAAATTACACGGTAAATTACCATTTAATACATATTAATCACTTTCTTCCTGCTAGTAAATGCATTTATAACTCGATAAAAAAAGTAGAAGCCGTTAGTGATGGATAATTTCAACGATGTGTCCCGACATATCTATCGATTATTGCAAACGATGCATCGATAGCTTTGAATTGGACCAAGCGCGTATAGCGATAACGATTAGCCACCCGCCGTTAGCTACAGAAGAAAACACAATACCAACCGAATCGGACGTACCGCGGATCGCGACCGTTGCGCGCGTTTAAAGTGTGTGACTATTTTTTTGTTGTTGTTTTGCGTGCAATTCGACGCGCGCGAATATTTGCAAATTGTTCGTTAGTTAACTAATAAAGAGAAAATGCAATAAACAAAAGTGAGTTAATATCATGCGCTATTGTCCATGTCTTTGCACCAATTTTCGTACCGCCAAAGGTCGGCTAATACACTTGTCGGTCTGAGCTGACTTTTGAATTGAGCTGCTCTGTCAGTGTTCAGCCTAATTAGCGCACGCTGCTGCTATTCACACTTTATATCCTAGGGAGACAGATACACATGCCGTCGCTGCAGGAGCAGCAGGGTGTGTTCCTTCCTGTGCCTTTTCGCTCGTGTTTGTGTGTGCGTGTGTGTGGATTGTGAACCTGTGCTAAAAATCAATAAAGCACGCTCGTGCAGAAGTCAAACAACAAAGAGACGACAAGTCCTGCTCCTGTTTCGCTCACACTCCCACAGTTAGATATGAACACATGTGCGTGTGAGTTTTCTCGCTCACATCTTTAATTCTTTTTTGTTTTACTTTTTGTTTTTGTTGTTTCTTATTATTTGTTGTTTGTTTTCTGGCTGCCAAGAAGGACGACAACTAACAATAAAATCCGCAGCAATTAGAGAACTTGGCAATTATGCGCGTCGCTTTGTGCAATTGAAATTGCAGGTAATTTCACACATGCTAGTAATAGTTTAAAGAGAAATACATTTATGTATATGTATGCTTATGTATGTCTATGTATATTGCTCTGAGTGCATCAGCTGCAGGCAAAACAACGACAACAATAGCGTTAAAATAATAAAACACCGTTAAATACGCGCGCCTACTTAGTCGAGCATGACCAAAGCACCCAAAGCATTAAAACCCGTTGCTTTATGGTTGTTGCTGTTGTTGTTGCTGTTCACTTTAAGTAGTTCTTGTTATTGTTGTTGCTGTTGCTGTTGCTGCTGTTGTTGTTGTGGCAGCTGGCAATTGCAAGAAACGCAATTGGAAACGCACTTGGCAACGAAACAACAAAACAAACTTTTGCCTGGGCAGCTGAATTATTGCCTCGAGACTGCAGCTCCTTGCCCCAGATTATAGGCATTAATCCTTGCTGCTTTGGTATTCGAGCGAGTTGAGTAAATTTGCTCTTAACCAAAATTGATGTCTAAGTGTATTGCCAATACCAGGCAATACCAAGCTAAGCCAAGCCCTTTAATATTCAATTTACCAGCCGAATGAGGTCAAGTGTTTGGGCTCTTACATTTTAGCTGGGAAATAAATTGTCTTAAAAATGCGAATGCAATGCAAATTGAATCCTTTTATATCACAATGAATTTGTGTGTGTATATTAACTCTTAAAAGTATTATATCTTGCGAATAGTAGTTACTATTACTATAAGACTATGGGTTGATTTATATTAAAAATGAATTAAGTACTCCGAGGTGAATACATATGTACATACTTGAAAATTTGATAATGAATTCAAGAAACTTTACAATATTATATAATTTTTAATAAACATAGCTCTACTTATATTTGTTTATTTCGCGTATTCTCTTACTAACTTGGAGCATTTTAATTGCTTGACGTAAAGAGTTCTGACTGTTTTCGTTTGCTTCTTGTTTCCCTGTTCTTTTTTTTTTTTTTTTTTTGTCAAGTTTGTAAATTGGCTTGAGCTGTCTTAGAAGTTGTTGTTAGCTGTTTTGACAACAACTATTGAAATAGTTAGGCATTTTACTGTTTGCCTTATGATTCGTTCGTCGTGCTGTTGGGCGTAATTAAAAATGCAGTTTTCGCGGCCCGTTTAACTGGCTTTACAGTTAGTAATAGCAGTTCAAAATTACACTGTTAAATTACACTAAATACATTATAGTAAATCATCAAGTCTTGCAGTCAGTCATGCTCTGATTTGGTTTCAGATGCCGATTCAGATTCAGATTCGGATTTGGATTCGGATGCAGATTCGAATTCAGATTCCAATTTCGATTCCGATTCAGATGCCATAACATGAACAAAAGGCGCAACGAAACAATATTTCGTATTAGTTAACGCTGCTATCTAACATACTAATTGACTATAGTCTATATCAGTTGGAATATCTATCAGCTGACATGTGCCAATGGCTTTTATCTAATCAGCTCAGACTTCTCGACTGAGTCATCGCTGCTGCAAAAGACGCAGATAGTTGCCAAACTGAATAAAGTAGTCGCACGCTACATGAAAATGTGATATTCTTAAAAACAATATTGAATGACACTCGAGCTATGCATTTAGCAAAATTATGTATTTGTTAAATCAAGTTTAATATACATATATAATATTATATATGATAATATAATATACGATTATATAAGTTTGTTTATTTTTACACAAGTCCAAACAAAATGCGGTTTTTGTTCATTACTTAATTCAGCGTGAGTTCACTTAACTTGGTTTGTTGATCATCAAGCCAAGTTAATTTCCCATGTTGTCGTTCAGTACCTGCACTCTTTCTTAGTGTGTGTGTGAGTGTGTAGAACAAACGAAAAGTCGATAAACCAGTTTGTGACTTGACTCGGAGGTAAGTGGAATCAAAACATTTAAGGCACAATGCTGGGTAGGGAAACAGATTCTGTTGGGATTGAGAAGCGTAGCAGCAGAGGCAGCAGCAGCAACAATTTCCTCATCGCCTTTTCATTCAATGTTTTTCACGCTGCGCAATTTTGAAAGTCGAACGCGTAGAAAAATGCGAGAGAAAGAGAAAAAGAGATGGAGAAAAAAACTTGATTGACGCTATAATGCATATAACGCATTTAATTGAATCACCTGGTTACATGGCTGACCTCCGAGCTGTTCCCCTGCAAAGGCAATCTCAGCGATGACCGCTAAATAAGTCAGCTTTCAGCGTGTTCCTCTAAGTTGCTAATGAAGGCTTATAAATGATTCATTCATAAAGGTTAATGAAAATACGAATCAATAATGAAGATGTAAAAAATGTATATATAGAATATTTAAGAATGATGACTACGAAAATACTGGAGAAGGGCAATTGTTAGTGGAGGAGCTTTGCGAATGCGAAGAAGAAAATGAGAGAATGAGAGCCGAAATCGATGTGCGAAAGAGGCAGAAATAGGGTTGGCAGGCAGTTGAGAATGGGATGAGAGAAGGAACCGATGTACAATAGAGGAAGCAAAAGAGCTGGAAACATACGGAAATTGCGTGAAGGCAAGTCTATAAAAACCGCATTGAAAGGCGATAGTTAGAAGAAGAGCTCAGAAAGTGCCAAGAAGATGGCAAAAACTAGAAAATGAGATAAGAGCAGCACGTGATGTACAAAAAACGAAAGGCTTGAGAATATAATGAAAATCGCATAGAAAGGCGAGAGATAGCACGAGTATGTAGAGGGTTTCCAGAAAGTGGAGCGAATGAGAGACGGAATCGATATAAAGAAGATGAAAGGAATAGGAATCAAAATGCGATAAAGGCAAGGCTTTTCAAATGGCATAGAAATACGAGAGTTACCTGGAGAGAAGAGGAAAATAAAGAGAGTGAGAAAAAGGCAAATACAAGTTTAAATAAGAAAGACAAGAATCTAATATAATTTCTACTTATGAAGAGTATTAGATATACTCCAGTCTCAAAGAGTTTGGCATATTTAAAGGACATAAAAAAAAAGAGGTCTCAGCGTGTTGCTTGCATATCGAGTGCTTCACAGACTCTCAAAACCGAAACAAGCTAACAACATGAAAACAAAACACACGAGAAACAACAATTGTAGGGTTGTAGGTTGCCGATGGAGTGGCATTTGGCGTTGCTGGAGGTTGTCGGGGGCCTCAGATGGCCGAATGTGTACTTAACAAAAAATGAGCCAAAGCAAAATGGAAAACAAATTCATAATTACCGACAGAAACAACAGAGTTTTCGGTGTCGATTTACCAATTGTGTTTGCTTATTACTCGTCCGTTTATCGCATTGTTCACTTCCTTGTCTCGGTCTCGACTCGGCGCGACTTTGAACTTGACTGCGGCCTAAGATGGTCTTGCGGCTGGAGTTGAAGTTAAGCCTTGGACTTGAGTTGATTATTGGAATGGGAATTGGTGTTAATATTGCTATTGGTATTGGTATTGGAGAGCGTGCCCTCTTGACCTTGCCTTGACGGCTGTCTAAGGCTTGGAGCGCCGTCTGCAGCAAGGCTGGCAAATGATCTCACATTCATATAAAGCCGATATCCATACAACCCCGTGACCCAAATGCCGCATAATAAGTGCAACAACTGCTGCAATTTGCGCGGCTCACGGCGCATATTCAAAGCAACTGCAAAAACAACAAAAGCCGAGTTAATAAATGAAATGAACAGAGAAAAAAAGACAACAGCCAACAACCAACCGCACAATGGCCAAGCAATAGGCATGGAAATTGCTTAGCTCCATAAATTGTGTCAGCGGCAACAAAAGCACGTGCCACCGCACAGACAAAGCACATCTACAGAAAGACAGGCGGACAGACATGTGTGAATAATTGTACATCTATTTTCTATTGTTCAATAATTAAAATCGTACAGCATTATACAATAGCTAAATATAGATGTAACTTTGGCTAGTTTCGGGCTCGAATTGGAAATGAATTCTGATAAAGAGCTCAAAATATTTGCGATGCAGAGACATCTTACTGACTAAACCCTATATGTATATATGTAGTATAATTCGCAAATATATCTATATTTACATCTATGCCTATATCTGGTACACCAGCAGTTGCAGTTGGGAACGGATAACCTAAAGCTGTTCACTGAGAGTTCGAATTCCGGTCGGGTTAAACGGCTCAAGAAGTAAACATGAATTGCTGAAATATTGGATGCAGATATATGTACTATTTAGATAGCTAGTAGAATACTATATAAAGATTTATATGTATTTAAAAGGTATATATTATTCTACTAAATTGCTGTGATAGTCGTTCGAATTGCAGTCAGATCGCTGACATCTATTAAGCAGATTTATGTATTACTTAGATAATTAGTGGAACAGTAAATCTCCGGATATATATCTATATCTAGTATTACAGTAAATTGCTTTGATACCTTAGCTAGTCTCTGACAGGAATCGAAAATGGCTTAGCTAAAAAAGCTCGCTGAGAGTTGGAATTCTGATTTTTATAAATATAAAGAGGAAAGAAATGCAGAGATCTTGGCTTCCAATTCAAGCTGGAATTGAAAATGGATAAGCTCAAGCAGCTCAATACGAACTCGAATTATAGTCGGTACATATTTATGATGCATATAGGCTTGCGCCCGAATATGCCATATATATATATATCTATATCGATATATAGTATTCCACAAAATTGCTTTGATATGCAGCTGCATAAACGTGTCAATGTAAAGAAGTCTTGACGTCTTGTTGCCTGCAATATTTTGATATGCTGACACACGATCAACGAAATATCAGATTTGTAATCTCCATAATCGACACGTTCTGTATGAAGAATACAATATGACGCTGGCAAGATTATATATTTATTGGGCGCCTGTTTGCTGGAAATGGAAATATGAATAAAAAATAACTCTGACCTCGATGCAAAATAAATATAAATTGAAGCGAAATCATTTAGAATACAAATAAGGCTTAGGCTTACTGCTAGAGGAGAGTGTATACAGAGTTTAGCAGAGAGAGAGAGAGAGAGAGCGAGAGAGAGAGAGAGT